TGTGTACATATATATGTATATACATATATATATATACATACATACATACATACATGCATGCATACATACTACAGACAATGAAGATACTATGTGTGTCTATTTACATAGACAGAGTTATACGGCTAGATTCAGACAGTGCAGGTTTGTTTGCTTCGCCCACCTCTGACACGGACTCCTCTTGAGGCTCCGAGAGCTTCCGGTCGAGCCTTAGTCTAGGGCCTTTAGGGCTGGGGGTTATGTAGGGGTTTAGGGTTTAGGGGTTTAGGGTTTAGGGTTTAGGGTTTAGGGTTTGTGGGTTTGTGGCTTTGGGGCTTCGGGACTTCGGGATATAGCGGCTCTTTGATCTGTTGACGAGTCGAATGCGGAGGTCTTCCACCGTGCATTGGACGACAACCGCCTCTGTATCCCTAACCCTGCAGTGGCTCGCACTGCTAGACGTCCATGCAGCCAGCTTGTGCTGCTGCTTGGTTGTGATGCGAAATCGAAACTGGTAGACAGTACTGACGAAGACCTTTCTTGGGACTGAAGACTGGGGCTTGCACTCCCATAGCCGGTCCAGAGAAGCCTTGACCAGAGCACTGCAGGGATCTAGTCACTTTCAAGATGCCGAAGATGCGCATGAAAGCTGTCGTCTGTTCTGGTCTTGGCTCACGACGAAGCCAGTCGGGTGAAGGCAGGCCTCAGGTGGTGCTGTGTGGCGATACACTCTACCTCTTTCTTGCAATCTGGCAGCCCGGTCCCCATCCGACTTAACACGTAACATAGGCCAAGCGAAGATTCACGACCCCGACCTACGGGACTACAGACGACTCTGAGGCAGGAGGAGAGACCAAGCCGCCTTACGAGCCAGCTATGAGCTGTACAACAACACATGCGGCCAGCCCAAAAGAAACAATAAATGGCCATGCAAATAAGCTGCAAATGAGACTAAAAGCCTCCTCCGTATCGAACTAAACCGCCTCACTACAGCAAATGCAGCAGTGGGTGCTAGACACGCTGAGGCTAGGAGGGCACGTTGGACGAACTCAGAGCTGGTTGGCCACCGCCACAAACCATTAACACTTTCTGGCCCTCGCGTCCGTCCCTTTCCACATCTGCACAGCTCAGTGCCGCTGCCAGACACGAATCACGCGGTGCCCGCTCCATGTTTCAGAACAGACCGGCTCGAGACACAGTGAACCTTACGCTTCCGTTGACTGGACAACTGGGCGCGAAACATGTGATGCTGCCGGACCACTCGGCGTTCATACAGCCAGCTTCAACAGCTGGTACTCTGTGACGAGTTTTCTCGAGGATCTTGCGAATGGCACTGGGAAGATTCTGCTCTGCAGAACGGCTGCCAGCACCCGAAGTTCCAGCAGCTGCTGAAGCTCCCGTCGTCACACGCCGATATAAGGCCAACAGCAGGCTTGCTAGGTGTTGTTGGCCACGTAACTCCAGAGATAGCGAGGTGCAACAACTCCCACGATTTCACCTTCCTGTAGACCCCTTCAATTAAGAGCAAGCCAGGGAGGTGGTCAGTTTCCAAGGCCACCCCCCAAACATGCACCAATCAGCCTCAAGCCAACAAGCATGAGCACCAGAGTTGTGCGAACCAACCGGTCTGCTGGGGCGGAGTCACATGAGACCAAGCCTTGACACCCAGGCTGCAAGGGCGATGAGAGGAGTTTGCGCCGTTTCGAGTGGCTTCAAGCTATGACCAAGCCTTTAATTTGCGGTTGGCCACAGTAGGCAACTGTTAGGGCCAACTGCCAGCTCTCTATGCAATCTGCAGGAAGCTGCTTTAAAGGCTTCGACAACACCAAGACAACACGGATTGAAGCCACTGCTTGAGCTCTGGGAGACCTGGAGCCAAAGGGCTCTGCCTACACGCAGCCCGAACACACCAAGCCCGCGACGCCCTTACATCCCAAAGTCATGGCACGAGGAGATCAGGAAAGCGTCGAGAATCTATGTATGGTTGCTGATCTGCCGCCTTTCAACCGTGAAAAAAGTCTGGGCGAGCTGAGTAACATAACATGAAGCGCCGCACACATGTCATGAAAGCCCGGCATTCTGACCGCGTGCTGCTTGATACTTGCGAAAGCGGGTCAGAAGAATTGGGGAAGCGCAGATGTTTGTGTGAATGTGTCCAGCTGGCTGAATGAAAACCAACGCCAATCCAAGCAATTCTATGCGCGCGCTCTCTGCCGTCCTTTTCCCCGCATGGCACATCATCGTGTCTTGACGCGAGCACTTTAGTCACCGGGCTCACTGCCCGGAAGCCCACCCCACCCGATTACAATCTTGAACCTCAAGCAGCTACTTGCAACCAAACCGAATCAGCAGCCGGATTGGCTCTGAGCGACTTTCGGGCTCCCGCCTCAGCAGAGCCGCACAGGTTTCTGCGGAAGGAGGGCTCAAATCTGCCAAGTCGTGGGGCTAGGGCTTGAGGGATTTAGTGCTTGTTGCTTCGGGGTCGGCTTTAGGGTAAGTTCGTTGGATTTCAGCGTCCAATAGGCTGGACTGCTACCTGGCACAAGACAAGCATGCAGAACACATTGACGGTACGAGTAAGGCCAGATGGCGAGCAACCTGTCAAAAGAACAGGCCGTGCAGGTGAACGTCAACTGAGCATTCAAGAACACACATGCACCAAGAGGGTAACAAGTGCGGGAGAGCTGAATACCCACCAAGACTCTTTGGTTTCCTGCACCCTAACCCCAAACCGCCTGCACCCCGTATCCACGGATCCCCTGAAGTCTTGAGGGCGTGAGAGATGTATGCAGCAAGACCATGATCTTTTGCAGTCCCAAGAGGCCCCGGTGAAGTGTCTAACCTGCCGGTGCGATGCATAATTACGGTAGACCGTAAGCAGACGCAACATCCCAACTCAACAACCCAAAGCCTAGGATCGAAAGCGTACAGGAAGTCCAGGGTTGGGGCTGAATCCGCGACCTTGAAATGCACGTAAGTTAAGCCCGCAAGTCTAAAGCCTTAACCTTTAATCCCGAACCTAAATCCCTGCAAAGCTCCTCGGCGTTCGGGAGCAAGTAGGAAGACTCAGGACTGTAAAGTAAAGCGTTTGGGATGGACGGCGTGGGATCTGGGGAAAAGGGTCTACCGGATTCAAGATGTCAGCTATAGGATCAAGAGTTGAGGATTTTGACCAGCGCCGCGTCTGGGGCTAGTTCAGGTTCGTAAAGCTAGTACCGTGGGGCACATGAGCTTTCGTGAAGTCCGGCGGCCTTTTCGGTTCGGGCTTGTTTGAGATTCCGTGAAGGCAACTTGGTGCTTGGTTTTGTTGAGCTGTTAGCCATGGCCGCAGCATCGGAGACCGTCTCTGCCTTCCTCCAACCTTCCCCGCAGCTTGGGAGATGATGCACAGAGCTAGTTAAAGTTCATGAGCCACTGCGAAGGCATGATCTGAAAACGACAAAAGATTCCAATGCTGATCCGGCCCTCGGCCCCTGGTGGCTGAAGGACACGGCAGCGAATTGAATTCTCAAGGCCGAGGAAGTTCATCATGGTGTGTACAGTGTACACTAAACTTGGATTGAAAGAAGAACCTGACAGAGTATGTTACGTGAGTTACAGATGGTCAAGCTAGGATAGTCAACCTCCAAGCGGCTGAAAGATGCAGTGACAATGCCCTTGGGCTCAAGGGCTCTACAACGAGAAGGAAGTGGCATCATGACGTCCCGAGGAGCGGAACAAGCAATGGGGCTCCCGAAGAGCAAAGGCAGAAAGACAAGGACCACGACCCGTCCTCGTGTCAAGTCTCTCTTGCTAGGGCAACGACTCGACTCCTGCACACACCGGGTGGTTAACAGGACTCCTGGGCTGTCCCAAAGTGCGAACCATTTTAGCCGGCATCCCTGTGCTTCCAGCACCCGTTTCAGCTTCCGTCGCAACAATTCGCAAAAGAATGCCGCACCCGACCGAAGCAACAGGCATCGCTCGATGTGCGCATGCCGCACGGGGAGAGACAGAAGCAACAAGCTGCACGAATGAAATACAGATTCTGAGCTGGGGTTTGCATCGCAGAGTGGACCTTGGCACGTTTCCACAAATATCTCGAAGCCCACATCTTTGAACACTCCAAGCTTGCCTGAACTCGAAACTCTGCCCAAAACCCAGCCCTACGCTGGGCTCCCTGCGCCTAGGAGGCCGCCCCAAGCCGCTCCTCGCACCTGCAGATTCAGTGCTTCAGGGCTTCGGGACTTAAGGGCAATTCAAGGCTCCAGGGCCCGCAATGCGCGAAGCGCCTCTGGCAGTACCAGTCTCCGGGTGGAACAGCCGGGATTCCAATGCAAACAGTATGGTACCTGCAGGGCAAGTGAAAGGCCGCTTCACAACTTCACTGTACGTGTTCGCCGGAACAAGCTCGGACAGACAGGTACCCAGCATCGCATCCATAGCACAGCAGGAGAAGGTGAGGTTCGTGGCTTCCACCGCACACATTTCTGCATAGGATGGGCTGAATCCATTTACCTCCTGTAATGTCTTTCGCCCGGGCTAGGGGCTGGGAAAGTCTCTCTCTCTCTCTCTTCCTTCCTTTCCGCTGGGAGACTCTCTTTCTCTCTCCAGCTGCTGTCTGATCTCCGACATGACCTTGCGGCAGCCCCCTCTGCGAGCGCACCCGGCCTGGCAGTTGCAGTCCTGCATCTCAGGCCCATCCACCGCCTTGCAGAAGACATGCTATGCTTGCCGATCCGTCCATCAGCGACTGCAGGCATAGAAGGTAGCAATTTTTTGAATCTCGGGCCGAAGCCAATGACACCTACCCTGTCCTATCTCTGAGCAACTTCTCGATAGCGTCAGAGACCTCAGAGCTGATATTGTTATACCTCGGAGGCGGGAAAGAAGAACAGCACTGCGGACCAGGGAGATTCTCGTCACGCCCTTGGTGACATGTTCTTGCCACGGTGCAGAAGGTCCAGGACCTCAGTGTAACAATAGGAAGCTGAACAGATGGCTCGAGTCCACTAGGCCTAGGCCCTGGCCACGAGCTCAGCATTCTCCGTAGCGGCCTGCAGCAGCTGGGAGCCACCATCATCTCCTTCGGACGGAGTGCAGGCTGACTTTCTTGGTCTCCAGGATGACTCTCAAATATCTGAGCCAAGGAGCCTATCGCATTCCCAGCCAAGGCCAGAGAGCACAGTGACGAGCGTGTGGCAGACGCCAGGGAAGCGGCGGCCTGTGGCAGATGGTCTCAGATGGTGGGGCTGCAAAAGGGCTGTTCTAGAATTCTTTTAACCGGAGGCCGCTGGCAGCGGGCATTGCAATCCCACATCTCCACACAACAACAGCCAGCTTCAACAGTCAGTGAGCATCATGCGAAAGCTACTCACACTGTCAGACTTTGTCTCCGTTTGCCGTGATGCGAGAGAGTCGCCTCGTCAGAGATGGAGTTGTGAGCCAGAGCGAGACTCTTGAAGCTGCCGTGCTTCCTGACAGCTGCACGGATCTGCTAAGATCTGTGGATCTATGAAGCTCCGTGTGCCGCAGAGGCAATGCAGACTACAGCCAAAAGCTGCTGACTAACCGAGAGGCTCGATGGCAGTGGCAATGTCAACGGCGCCCACATCACCAATGCCTGGGCATGTAGGGCCCTCAAAGCGCTGTGTCTTTCCTCAACCTGCGTTTCTTCCCTCACGAACCGCGACTTACGACCAACAATACCTAGGACTTCGCCTAGTCCATGAGTCTGAAAGTTCCAGCAAAACTCAGCACCACCGGAAGCGACGCGCCAGAGGGTGAACCCACACAGGAGCATCCGGGGGGATGATTCACATCATGGCACTCTACCATCTCCGGACAGCTTTGGAGAACCCGCACAAACACATGTAGGCTGTGATTGATGGTTGCCGCCGGGTGGCTGTTACCCGTGAGGTCCAGGCAGGTCAGTCGCCCATTCTTCACTAGCATGTCCTTGCGCGGTTACACAAACTATGACCGTGGTTCGAAATAGAAATGACTAGTTTACACCCCAGCTCTCAACCGGTTCACCTCCAACGAATATTGTTCCCTGCCGAAGTGAATTCTCATCTGCCCGAGGCGCGGCTACAGAGGCGGCACCCTGTTCGCCGAGCTCATTCCTGATTTCGCAGACTTCGTAAAAAGATTTCACTTTGTGCAAGCGACGTACCAAGCTTTTCCGACTTCCCTCTAATCGCACGGTGAGCTTCTGCTGCAACGTCACGATGCGCAAGGCCGTATTCTCCGAGATTGCGGCGCAGAGACACACGGCGCCGTCTGCATCTATGCGATTGCTGCCCAGGTTGAGGCTGGTCACGGTTCCATTTTCCTTGCTGCGGTTTAGGGTTTAGGGTTTAGGGATGCTGCATGACAACTGCCGAAGACCATGCAGTCCATGCCACATGCTGCCAAGCCTCTGCCAAAGCAGAACACATTAGCTCAATCCCCTGCGAGCCAATTTCATTCATAGCCAGGTCCAAGAATGCCACGCGACCTTTTGCAGCATCTTTTGGGATGAACACTGACGTCACAGATGCCAGCACGACTTATCCTGCCCTTTCAAGGAGGGCTGTGTTGCACAGGCATGGTCACAGGCCTGAATCTTTGATGCTCAGCAGGATCTGCTGGGAACCAGATCCTGCAGCACGGCAGAATACCAAACTTACATCACTTCATAACGGTCTAGGGTTTAGAGTTTAGGGTGTAGAGACTTCTTCCCACCCGCTTCCGATGCTATGCTATGAGTCTTCTCAGGCTGCTCCTTCTGGGCTGAACTGTCGGCTCCCAGCCGCCACCAGAAGTGCCGGATGCCACACAAGGCGGGTTGGCTTAAGAAAAGCCTTACGAAGGTTTAGGGTTTATAGACCCTACACCCTAAACCCTTAAGGGCTAGGAGACCCAGTGCATCCAGGGCTCCACAGATCCTATTGCCGCTCAAGCTCAAGCTTGTCAACGACGACCTGCCAAAGGTCGCACGCGCCTCGAACTTTAGAACCCCGAAAGTCCTGAAGCCGTCAAACCCTGAACCTTAGAACCCCTGAAACCCACAACCCAACCTCCCAAAAGCCGGACCCCGAACCCCTAAACTCTGATTCATGTTCACTTACTCTGATTCCCCCAACCCCTCTAAGGTAGAACCCATATATATATATACCCTTAAGGGACCCTAGAATCCCCTAAGGGCCCATGTTAGGGGCCCATGGGTTCAACCTTAGAACCCCGCTAAAGCCCGGATTGCTTTCATCAGTCCGAGGCCCCTGCGCCGGCAAGCCGGGAGCGAGGAGCTCTGCGCCGTGAATTCCGAGCCTTGGCCAGCAAGCAACACAGAGGTTTAGGGTTTAGGGTTTAGGGTTTAGGGTTTAGGGTAGGTTTTTGGTTTGTGTGAAGGGACCAAACATGCCGAGGCGCTGGTTGTGGCCCAGGTCGAGATGCTGCAGTACACCTCAGCACTCAGGAGCCTTTCTCTGTTCCCCTGTAGGTCCACATTGTGCCACCAGGAGACGATTCTTGGGTAAAGAAGTCGCCAGGCACGCCATGCCTTCGGTGTAGATCGAGTTTCCTTGAAGCTCCTTGGGTCATGGAAGTTTGGGGTTCCGGGCCCGAGTGTTCGAGCCTTCTAGGGTCTAATTAAGGTTTTGGCTTGCTTAAGGCTTTACATCTAGCTGAAAACTCTCGACGGATGATCACAGGCACCTGATGCAGGCTTGGCCGTCAATTGCGAGTGGCCACTGTGCCTGCCTTCGTCGTAGCCAAGGGTCCAGCTGCTCGAGCGTGGAGTTTGTCTGCAACAACTTTGCCAACGCCTCGGCGATGTCATCTCCTCGGTACGCAGCATTGGATCAGAGACAGGGCATCTTGGGGCATGGTGAACTCAGCATGACTCTTGTCGTAGCACAGGCTCCGAGGTCGTTATCGTTCAGCACCAGTCTTTTGACCAAGTCGTTCTCCAACATATACTCTAAGACTTTGGCACCTGGCCGCCGCACATGCATTCCTAGCATGAGCAACTGCAATGGCAAGTTGGCAAACTAATCCCACAAGCGTCAGTGCTAGGAACGACAAAAAGCAAGTAAAGTCGAGCAGTTCGAGTGTCATGATGGGCGAGTCCAAAAAGCATCACAAAGTGGAACCTCCGGAATTGTCGAGGGCGTTGTCGCTCAGATCCACTGCGGTGATGTTGTGCGTCTTGTCCTGCACTGTGAGCCCTAAGCCTCCGCTCCACGTACCCACGAGAGTGAGCTCTGCAACGCAGCGTGCGTGCAAGGCCAGCATGCATAAAGGAACTGCAGCCATGTCAGTCAGCACAAGTTTGGGAAGACTTCCAGATTCGCGACTTTCCATGTTGTTGGGGTAAGGCTTGCACGCTGCAGACAGGCCGTTCGGCCACTGCACATTACTGTGAATATCTCCCTTTCACGACACTTTGGACAAGCATCAGGGCCGGATTCCAGGTCATCTTCGTGTCGGACACTGTACCAAAAAACGAAACCTTCGATACCCTCGCTGTAAATTACACTGGTGCTTCTCAGGTGGCCAGCGCACTTCCTCGGAAGGTGAGTGGGAGGGTCGAGGCTGGAGTTCGACAGCGACAGCGACAGCCACGACGTCTCGCAAACCCCTGTGCCTTCAGTGCGAGGGCCAAGTTCTCCAGGTCCGCTGCCTTCCGGGCACTCTGTTTGCTAGTGCAGCAATTTGATTGATACACGGAGCAGCTTGCATGCCCACCTTCAACCCGCAGCTGCGCAGATTCAGCTCTGCCATGGCGCCGGTGCTCACAAGCAGTCTTGCCACGTGATATGTCTTCTTTCACTGAACAGAGGCTCGGTGCTGGTAGCAAGCTTCGCAATTGTGTCTTACAGTCTTACAAGTACTTAGAATATCTTACAAACAGCTGCGCAGCCGAAGTTGCAACAAACAACGAACTGGTAGCTTGCACGCACAACTGACGGCACATCGGTGAAGCAAGGCCAGCCAGGCCTCATCGTTCAGTTCCTGCAAGATGCTTTCGGATGACGACATGCACATGCTTATTCCACGAGTGTTCGCCCAAAGCATACCCTAGTCTGCCGACAAGTTGGTCCAGCTCCCGTGCCGGAACTAGTCGTCGTTTCGCTGGCGCACTACCTGTCTGCCGACGGATGCAATTGCAAGACATTCGATGAAACGGAGCCAAGCCGATGCACTGGGTGCAGGATCGGTGGTTGTCGCTTGCAACCTTCGCGGATCTTAGCCACTTGCCGGGCGCTCAGAACGGAAGCCCCCGAACACGAACCACCCATGTCAAGAATTAGAAACCCCGCTCGATCTCTCCACGTCACTATCCCTCACTCGGACTCCCGAAGGTTCCACTCAGGCTTCCCAATTTTGCCACTTCAACTCCTGGAATCGTGCCTGCGAAGCGGCGGCAAGCTTGATGTGCTCCTGACACGTGCTGCTAATTTTTTACACCCGCAAAGATGTGGATACGCCTGAGATGCCGTCCTCCTGGCAAATCGGCGAGGCTAGCCGCGCTGGCGACTGCATTGGACCGCTTGGCCGTGTGAATTCTTTGTCCACATGTGCAGAATGCTGCTGCCAGCAATGTCAAGAATTGTTCATGTCAATGTGTTGGACTGAAATTTATTCAAACGACCTCGTGATACCTCGTGATCATGCAGTCATTTGCGCCTGTGCCCGCTTCATTATTGTCTTGCCGATCGTGGCAAGCTTGCAGCCACCAGTCTTGCGATCATGCAGACTGCCCGACAAGTCTTCGTCGACGCGATCCTTTAGCTCAGTGTCGTCTGCATTGTCCCACTGTACTTCGTGTAAACCCCTGTTCCATCCCTGCGAGCATCGTGCAACCCCATCTGTGGCATGCCGGCTGTGGGCCAAGCAATGGCTTCAGCTGCTCTCTAAGCGATGCTACCCCGTCTATCTTTGTCTCCCGCTCCCTGCATCCCTCCCATGTCTTTTTCCTGCGCATTTTTCACTCGACCGAAGTCCTTGACGAAGCCTGGCGGGCAGCAGCTTCCCCTCGCACCATCTCGCACCGACTCGCGCCCCCGGCCTTGCCCTGGGCATCTTCGGCAGCTCTCCGCTCGCGAACGAGCCGCACCAGTGTCTTGAAGTGCTCCTGCTCCGGGCCCCGCTACCGGCTACCGGAAGTCTGCGTGTTCCGAAATTTCCCCACGCCATGTCTTGCCCTGCCTTGTTTCCAAAGATGTCTTCCTGCGGCCGATGCATCCAATCACTCAGAGTCTCTGAACCCTAAACGGCCCTAAACAGTCCCAAACAGCCCTAACCCTAAACCCTAAACCCTAAACCCTAAATCCTAAACCCTAAACTTAAACTTCCTGTGAAGCTCTGGCGCCAGCACACAGACAGCAGACGGCTCTCCTTGGGCGGCCCACGCCGCTCCTTCGCTTGCCGGAGCACCCCCTCCTGCTTCATTCGGGAAGGGTTTTGGGTTTAGGGTTTAGGGTTGAGGGTTGAGGGTTTAGGGTTTAAGGGGTTAGGGTTTAGGGTTTAGGATTTAGGGTTTAGGGTTTAGGGTTTAGGGTTTAGGGGGGTGTCTGATGGCTGTGGGTTTGGGGATCCGGGTTTTAGGGATCGGAGCTTTGGGACCAGGGCTGTTTTGTGGATCAGGGTTTGGAGATCCGGGATTTAGGGAGTGCTTCGTTGCCCGGAGCTTCTCGTTGACTTTGGCCTCGTGCTGCTTCCAGAGGACTTCGCGCGCGTTGAGGCCGACTGCGACGGGTTCGGGCATGGCGCAGCCGGAGACCTGACCGAGAAGGACTTTTCGATGGATTTTTTAGGAGTTCACATGAAGGATCCGATTAATTATTCAGACATCTAAATTGACCTCAAGTGGGAAGGCTAAGCACATCTCTGACGCGCCTTGGAGATTCGAACGCCTTCGCCATTCATCATATACCGCCTCGGTGATACAGGCTCCGTTCATGACACCATCCATCGGGTGTGCTTATTGAGAGACTTCCCTCGCAGAGCAAGCCGGCTGAGCAATCGCCAGGCGCTAGGGAAGAGAACAACAAAACCACCCCAAGCTCATTCTTGTTGGTACTTGAACGGAGCTGTGCTGCTTCATTCTTGCGTAGTTCTATCTCTGTTTGGATGTTTGAGTTTGTAGTACAGTATTGTGGTTTTACGACTTTTTCGCCTCGGTCCCCGCCGACATCCCCAGCTTACAGGGCCCGAAAACCGCTGTTGAGGGCTTCGGGCTTGCGGTTTAGGGTTTTTTCGATTTTGGCCGCTTAGACAGCTGTTGGGGTTCAGGGTTTGGGGTCTGTTGGGGAACTGCAATCGCCGTCTCGCCTCTTGACTCTTGTCGGCTGCTTCGTCACCGGGTCCACTAGCACGACATTGGTGATGTGGATCGGGCACCTTAAGGAGACATGTCATGCTTTAGGGTTTCAGTGTTCAGGTTGAGAGTTTCGGGTGTGCGCACTCTGCCCTCCGTACACAAGATCGACCACCGAAACACCCTGAACACAACAGCGACACCTCCAAATCACCAACAAAACCCCCCCAAAAACCCCCCAAGAACCCCCATAAAACTGAAACCCTGCGCCCGACAAGCGCCACAAGGCAACAAAAAATAACCTTGCAGCTCCAGAAGCTCCACCGAAATGATGGAAGGCTTGCCAGGCCCCGGATCCGGGTGCCAGAAGCCTCGGAGAGGTCTCGGGATCATGCCTGTTTTTTTCAAGTGCTCGGAGAGATGTCGTGTTTGAGATCTCTTGGGGTTTCGGGCTTGGGGATTTAGGGCTTGAGGTGATTTGGGATTCTAGGCTTTCTTTTATTTGACACCCCTTTTCCTCCTGCAGGTCTCCCCTTAGTCAGAAGGCAAAGGGCCCTCACGACGGGAGTCACCACCATTCACCACTCGGGGGTCGGGTTTCTGTCGGCATTTAGGGTCTTCGTTTCGGGCACTCTTCTCACCCCAGAAATGCCGAAAAAAAAGCTCGGGCTCGGGCTTCGCTTTAGGCTGACACCAGACACGATGACCTGGCATCGGAGTTTGAGAAAACTGGAAACTAAGGACCCCCTACAGGAACCTCCGAAAAGAAGGAAAACCCCGTATCATCCGATGACTCCGAGATTTGGATAAAGAAGCTGGAGCCACCTGATTCTTGTCACGGATAATTCGGCTGATGACGCCGTGCTTGCCCTTCTCACTGCCATAGAGAACTCGAACCCGATCCCCAACTTTAATGTTCATCTCCTGAGCACAAGCTGCTGTGCAAAGATTGAGGATTGCAGCGTGCAGAAGCGGATACTCTGTGCGGGAGAGACTCTCTTGCCAAGTCCAACTTGCAAAGCCTTCTGTCGACATCTCTGGGATCTTTTGGCGCTGGCCATTTCGAGGGCTCTTTGCTGACACTGAGGAAAGGCAGCCTGCACCAAAGTCAGAACACATCTGAGAAGACGGAACATTCTCACGTGTTGCTGAGCTCAACACTGACGATATCTTCTCGTGGTCTCCTCCTGCCGAAGCCGTCAAAGCGATCACGGTGGACAGGAAAGCAAAGAGCATGACAGATCGCTCACGAACCGTAATAAGCCGCACTGCCCACTCCGCTCCTGTCGGATACGCTGGTAGAATGGAACGATGCCACCTCGCTCTGTACTAGCTGAAAGTCTCACGTAGCTCAACGTTTATTGGCATTTGGCTCGTGGGCGGGGCAACTTTTGTGTTTCAGGGCCAGCAACGCCCAACAAGCTGCTTGATGCTTGGGGCCTCTAGCCTACTGCGCTGGCAGCGCCGAGGTCTAGATGCCAGATTCCAGATGCCGATTTGAATTCAACTGTTTTGGAGACCCATGTTCAGCCCTTCAGCGTTTGAGGTGTGCCTTGTACCGGCGCCTATCAGACACTATGATGACCTGGTAATGGGGGTAAGTGAGTTACCGTCGAGGAAGCCTTCAACCCCGCAGGCCTCGGACCGAGTGTACCCAACCGTAACAACACACAGCCGGCAACCACCCTGCGAAAGCAGTAAACCTGGAAATGAGCCCCAGCAGGCATGCAAGCAGTCCGTCTCTTGCATCGCTTGGGTGCATAGTCTGTCATGGTGCATACTGTAAAAAGAATCAAAGTTTGCTCTTGAAGTTGTCAGTGTCAGCAAGTGCTGCCGAGACGCCTTTGATTCGCGGCTTCAAGTGCTTCGCATTCGCGCAGCATATCAATGAGCGAAACATAGCTGCAGTCTGACAAGCAAATCGGCCGGCCTAAATGTAGTTGGTGTGATGAGACAAAATGAAGAGTGAAGACAGTAAAGCGGAATGGGCTGTGAGCTCGAGCCTCTACTGTTAACAGGGGGAATTTCGTGCTCAGGTTCTGCTGTAAATTCAACCACAGACTCCAAAACGAGGCGTTTTTCAAGCAAAGTTCTGCGGAGCTCCTCTGGCGGATTAGAGAGTCTCCTGTACATGGAAATCTCGCGGTCAAACTCCACGAACGTCCTTGGCCTTGCTACTTCTCTCAGCAAGGACACGTTGCTTAGCTGCTTGATGCGAGAGCGCTCTGCTCTCATCTCCCGCATGGACTGCTGCCTGAAAGCCTCCTCGTCATCTTCCCTCCGAGCATGTGCAGCAGCAGACCTCCTCCCTGCCCAAGCAAAGAGTTCAGAATGGGAGAAAGGCCCATGTCCCTTGGAAGGCTCCTGCATCAAGAGTTGCAAGGTCTGAGACTGGCACAAGCTGAGCTTTGCAGTGACTTTGTTGCGGCCAGGGCCAGATCTGTAAGGTGATGTCGGGGACGTTGGGCTCACAGGGCTCATGGGGCTTGCCGGGGTTCTTGGGCTTTTTGGGGAGCTGGGAGAGCAGATGGCTGAGGGAGGCCTGCGAGCTGGTGACAGGACTTTCTCGACGAACTTCGGAGAGTCGGGCGATCCCGGGTCGGTGCCTCCGAAAGCATCGTAGGTCAAGGGGAACTCGTAGACTGCCGGGTCCACATGACCCTTGCCCTTCAGCATGGAAACCTCCACCATGTCCCATCCCAGCACTGTCTCACAATCCTGAAACGCGACCAGGCTGGATGTGCGGCCTGCCAGAACTTTGCTGACTTTCAAGCCTCGCACCGCTCCTTCTACACACATGGGCTGCGTGAACGAACGCCGCTGGAACCGCTCAGTCCCCACGGAAGCCTCAAGAGTGCCCCAGGTGAAAACACGCCCATGTGCAGTCAAAGCAAGTGCGTGGTCTACGGCTGCACTGATACATGTCACGCAGATGGAGAGCTGCAGGAAGGTTGGGATTGCAGCCGGCATGTTGCTTGCACCAGGACGTCCGAGGATATCTCCTCCTACGGAGGCCCAGCTGTATGCAACGCCACGGGCCGTAACTGCGAAACTTGCATGCTCAGTGTCCACCGCGCTGACGAAGAAGTTCTCACTTCGACCACCACCTGCTCCTGCTCCTGCTGCGGGACTCAAGATAGCCTGGGGCTTGCCCCCCTTGGAATGAAGGATGACTGCTTCCGGCAGCGCCGAGGACACTGAGCGCGCAGAGGCTTCGCCTTCCAGCGGCGTGAGGTTGCAAAGTAAGGTCGGCACAAGCACGTTGCCTGCCAACTCCTTCAAGTCCAACTCCTGCACTTCTACACTCTTCGAACTCCTTGCAGCTCCCGTTTCAGTGGCCTTAATGACCTGGAAAAGCAGAAAGGGGCAGGCTGTAGGATGTCGACTCCCATCCGCACCCGGTCTCACTGTGCCCTTGGATGGAGCAGCACGGGGCTGTGCCAGCGGCATCCAGGAATTCAGGCCCAATCCTGTTCTGGACCCCCATGCCCAAGCTTGTCCATCGAAATCCAAAGCAAGGTTCGTCTGGGGTCCAGCTGAGACGCTTCGCAGGCGAGGCAAGACGGCACCAGAAGCACAAGCAGCTGTGAGGCTCTCACCGCGCTGTGGCTCCAAGAGACCAGCAGAACGCATCTCCGACGTGGCGACTCCATGCGCCGCCGCCCATGGCTGCAAGCAGGTCGCTTCGGCCACCACCCGTTGCTCCAGCTGCTCGGGGCGCGGCCATCCAATGCCGCATTGCCCACAATCGTTCTTGCCCCATGCAAAGCAAAGACCCTCTCCGGTCATCAGAAGCGCATGGTGCGCACCACACGAGACCTGCCAAGGCCCAGGGAACAACCAGTCAGCCTACGCAGACGAAAAAGACATACAACAAAAAAGCGCTAACGCACCAAAGGCTAAGAGGGGGCCTGCACGACACTGGGGCTTGCTGCAAGGAGGCGGTGGTGCTGCAGCACAAAGGGCCCCTGCAGCTTCAGCGGCTCGGGCGAGCCAATCAGCTCGGCGTTTGCGTGGCTTGGCAGACAGTACGCCGTCCCACTGCGGCCAGCAAGGATGGCGAAGGAGTCGGCGGCGTCCACGTCCACCACTGGCTCTGGGGTTTCAGACAGGGACGCGACCCAGTCCCGAGGAGGATACGGCCGAGCGCACATCACTTGCACATGAAACGGCCGGAGAGCACCTTGAAGAGAATCTGAGCTCATGCTGTGCATCGCCTGCACCTCCGATCGCTGTAGTGCCAGTAGGGTCTGACGCTCGGCAGCAAGCCGCAAGGCCAACCTGGACATGAAGTGCTGGAGCCTCACTTGGCGAGCTCTCCAACTCCTTTGCAACTGCAGCGCAGCCATGTTAGCCACTTGCAGCCGTTCATCCTCGAGCTCAACCCTCACGCGGAGCACGTGCTTTCGAACACGGATTGCCCATTCCACTTCTGCCCTGTCAGAGGCCATACGCTCGCGTATGTCGTCGGTAATTCGACGACCCGTCCTCTTTGCATACTTCTCCCAATCAAAAACACGACCACTGCGGATGTACATTCCTTTTACGTACCTGGAGAGCACCTCCATGGCAGCCCGCTTGCGGGCCTCGTCGACTGAACGGCAAAGCCGCATCCGCATCTTGAGGGTTCTCAGCGCTATGCAGAAGATCCTCTGGTTCTCTGCATAGTCTGTGTCCAGCCGTCGACCGAGGAGCGTCTCTCGTGCCCAGTAGCACCGAAGGAAGCTCTTTAGGGTGTTGCAGGCGCCCTGAGCCGATTTCTCAAACCGAACCTTCCGCGCAGCCCGTCGTCCCAAAGCCCCACGCCACATAGCAGTTATTTTCGCACTTGCCCGACTGTAGAGCAAGTGAAAAGCCAACTGCGACCGTTTCTTGTAAGTTTGAATCACGGATCCCCAGAGATCAGATGAATCTCGCAGCAGCTGCCTCTGTTTGACTGCACGCAAGCTCTGCTGAGCAGCAAATCGCCGACAAACATCCCTGACGGTCTGCATGGCAACTTGCTCCTTTTCGGTCCTCTGCTGTGCACGTTCGAAACCACCACGTGCACGTGCTTGGATGCAAGACACGGCTTCATGTTCTCTTCTTTCTGAGAGTTGCCTTCGCAGCTGCACAGCCTTTAGTGCTACTCGCAAGAGGCTTTCAGGATGCTCTCGCATCCGACGACGCATCTGCAATCGAGAAAGCAGTTGCTGGGCCTCGACCTTCTTCTCCAGTCCAACAAGCAAAGCTTGCAGGCGCCGGATGCAAAGACCATGAACACGCCGCTTGCAAACTGCCACTCGACAAGCTTCTTGCAGCCGCCGAACGGCTTGCTGCTCCTCGAAACTTGCGAGGCGAATCCGTAGCACAAGGCTCTTGAGCGCGGGAGCCACAGTTTCAAAGCATTTTGCTGCCTCACGCATCTTCATCATCTCGACTTTGGCAACACGCCCGCGTTGCAACGTCTGCAGTTTCACGGATGACGCTGCAATGCTGGCTCTGGCTGCAAGGCAACGTTGGCGCACTGTCTTGAACAGTGCAGCAACCAACTCTTTGTCTGCCAGATCACCTTCCGCAGGGCCAGGCTCGCCGGTTTCCTCTGCTTCCTCCGTTTCCTCCGGTTCCTGTCCTTCGGACGCCTCCATGGCGAAGTGCCTGGGAGCTGAGATCAAGTCTCAGAAAGCTTTGATGTGTCAATATCTCTGAGGTCCAGTCTCTGTGTGGGTGTCGTCTTCTAGGCGATTTGTGCAGTTCAGAGTCGGGTCAGGGCTGCAACGCGATGGACTTGAAGGTAATGGCTGCGGTCGCGGCACGCACGGGATATCACGGGATGCTTGATTTCTGTGTTCGGGTGCGAGACGTTCTTCTGGCAAAGCGGCTATTTTCCTCGCGCGCTTGGCCGCACTCTCTTCCCCGCCCGAGCCTTGGATCAGATTGCGCTTCAAGACGCCCGCTGAGAAGAACACAGCCGGGCCGCGAGTGGCGGTGTTTGCCAACCACACACCATGCATTCGGCCGAAGATGTCTTGCTCCTCCTCCTGCAGGACCAATGGAAGCACGGCGTATTCCTTGAAGTGTGCCAGTGCGGCCTCCACGGTGTGCCAGAGCCTGAGGTCAACCATCTTCAGCTCAGACTCCTCGCAGGCAACCCCATATCGATATACGCTGCGAAGGAGCAGCAACTGACAGTCGCGATGAGGTATCCTCGGGGAAGCGCTTGGCGAAGCAGCGCCGAGCTACTAGCTCTGCGTTAACCTGACAAGCGCCAAACGAGAATGGGGCCCACGCAGACCGTCAAATAGCCTGATTGCTGTAGGCTCCTGGCATCAAGGAAGAAGATGCCCAGTGGAGTCAACCTGGCTATCACGGCCAAATCTGCTGCAATCTGCTCAGCGAAGCCTCGCCTTGAGGCTGCTATCGGTCCCTCCAAGAGCTCATTGAGGGTGAAGGTCCTTCAGAAATCTTGCCGGGCTCGCTGGCCAACAAAGCTTCCACTCGGAGGTTGGAGGGTGGTGGTGCAGCAGGAGGAGGAGGAGGAGGAAAACAGCTCCCACCCGATGGGCATCACGATACTGTGCATCTCCAAGTCCGCTGTGGAGAGCTCTTGCAGACTGCCCCGTCCTTTCCAAAGGATGGAAAAGCAGATCCAAAAAGCCCGCGTACGTGAAGAACTCCTTGGAGAGCGCGCTTTGCAGCAGCTGGAGGCGTCGTCAGCGGTTGCACCAGCGAGCTGCTGCTCGGAGCAAAACTACCAAGGCGCCGACCGGAAAGTGGACCAGCAAGTCGCGGATCTCCCTCGATTCGGGATCCTGCATCCGCCGAGCCACGACGCTTCGCATCTTCTTAGAAGCGGGCGGGTGCCTCCGAAGCCGTGAGAACCTCCTGACGCAAGGCTCGCACCTGCAGCACTCGCAGCATCGCTCGCATCACCCTCGCCCCTCGTGCCTGCAGCGCAACTTGTGAATGGGTGTCTGTCTATACAACACTTCCGTTGAAGAGCCTCCCGATGCGAAGGTGTTCTAGAGCCTCCTGGGAGGAAGGAACGGAAAAGTGATGGGTAAACAAAAGTACACGGGAAAAGTTCAGGTTCTCATAGGAAGAGACCGACACGGCTCCTTGAAACTGCGAGGCAAAGGGCAGCTTCTTCAGCCAGGCCTGGCGGAAACACAGGCGGCCTCGTGACTTCGTGCTCTTTTGCAACAAAAAGCCTCAACTCGCGGCTGCCAAGTCTTGAAGCTGATGGTGGAATAGGTTGCAAGCTGAAGGACCTTGTTGCAGCCAGATGTCCTACGGAGCTCGAAAGTCCTGTCAAAACGTACGCCCTTTAGGTAGCTAGGTGTCTGAACAGCTCAATCACGTCTGCAAAGCAGTGAGTCTTAAGTTTGCGGTTATACGTCCCCTAATTTAGTATGGGGTATAAGTATAGTTACCCTACTTATATAACCCCAGTTATAACTACCCACCCTAAACCCTAAACCCTAAACACTAAACCCATGAACAGCTCAGCCGTCGGCACCCTCTGGCCGAAGCAGCGATGCCAAGCGCTGCAGCCCCGAGGATGGATCCGGCAAATGATGCCTCAAGCTACTTTTGTATTCTATACAAAGCCATAATATAGGATATAATATAAGAAAAGTTTTTTTTTTTGCTTTTCTTTCTTTTGTATTCTATACAAAACCATAATATAGGATATACTAGAAAATACCACAACATACTTGAAGATGCTAGAATCGAATATACTAGATTATACTCTGTATAACATACTATAACATACTAGACCACACTACAATATACCATACTATACCACAATATACGATCTTCCACTGGACAGCGCAGCAATCCACACCTTTGCCTACCCCCAAAAGAGTCTCAGCCTCCAGCAGCACGCCACAGCAAACGACGAGGTCGAAACCATCTCGAAGAAGAGCATGATCTTCCAAGAGGGCCGTAAACCCCTAACCACCCAAAACCTCTAAACCCCTATACCCTAAAGCCTAAACCTCTCAAACCCTAAACCTCTCAACCCCTTAACCCCTTTAAACCCTAAACCCATGCAACTGAATACAGCCATTCCCTAGACCTCCAAAGCGCGGGGGGCCTCGCGTGAGGTGCTGGAGATCGCCGACTAGGAACCTCACGCGGGCCTCTGCAGGGTCTGACTCAAAAGCACTAAACATCGGGTTTAGGGTTTAGGGTTTAGGGTTTAGGGTTTAGGGTTATAGGGGAAGAAATAGTTTTTCCCCTGTAATATGTTTAGTGTTTACCACGTTCGAAGGTTGGCTTCTGGATCACTGCCTCGTGCTGTCTCAGGCGCGCACGAACTCTGTTTCGGTGAGAACAGAGCGCAGCTTGCGCTTGGCAGCAGCCAGGGTCTTGGACGAGCAAGATCGATGCAATACGAGATGATCTAGCATGATATAGTACAGTTAGCAAAAAAAAGTAATACAGGAGTAAATCATTGTAAATCAATATGTTGGTCCTGCACAGAAAATCCTGTCCTCTGCTGCTGTGGCTGCAGTAAGCTGAGTGCATCGCTCTTGCGGAGACGTCAAGGGCAACGAGCTGAATACACAGCAAGAGTGGAGCATGTTCATGACATTCAGACATTGTCCGACGCTAGGGCTAGGTCGTTGCGCAGGTTCCACTACTCAAACTTGCTAGCAAGGCCTCTGATGTGCCTTCCAGTTCCGTGCTGCGAAGCTCAACGGCCACCTGATGGCCTTGAGTGAAGAAAGTGGTGACACGCGGTATCGCTCAGAAAGGGGGACTGGGAGATACACTACCATCTGCCTGAGCCACAGCCAGCGACAAGGATGCGAGTGCAGGAAACCTGGCACAGAAGCCACTGTGGAGGCGCTAGGCAACTACTCAATACCAGAATCGAACTTGCATGAACCTGTAGCAGCAAGGGCTTAGCCCTCTGCGATAGCGCGTGCCCGGTGATTTTAAGATGGCTTAGGTGAGCACAAGTCCAACCCTCGGCTTCGTGCAACCTCCACATGCCCTACACCGGCAAGCGCCTGCTCAGGAGTCCACACGGGAGAGATGTACTTTAAGCGCACGTCCAAAGGTACCTGCATACACCGCTTTGCTTGTGTTCCTCATCGTTGCTCTGAAATCTCCGAGTGCCGGGCAGGGATCACACCCACGCTCTCCACTGCAAAGTGCCACGGAGGATACCTCACTCGTGAGATGCTCGTGCTCCCTGTTAGAAGCCCCCCCTGTTGGCAAACCGAGGTCGCAACAAAGTGCAGTCCTCAGAGCGTACCATCTCTCGTAAACTACACCCATCTTAACCCCTAAACGTATACCAACAAAAACTTTAATGTTATTGTTACAAATAATACTAATAATACAATACGAATGAAAACGCAACAACTGTAATGTAATGATAGAAACCATCAGCATCACCATCGTCATCATCAGCGTCGTACTCCCTTTTCAATAATGGTCGTCACGTAACAAAAACACATGTTAAGCATCGTCATCTCCTTCAATAATAACGATGATGAAAACAACAATGATAAATATTGGGTGTTGATGATGATGACAAAAAATAAGAATAGTAAATATACTGATAATGATACTGACACGCACACGTTATCAAGAAAATGCCAAATTCAATAGCAGCAGTGATACCAAGAACACTATGATCATAGCAATCGGTATTAAACGACATCTAAGATCGGGAATGATCTTTCCGCCGCGTGGCGTAGAAGTCTCGGCAAGGAGAGGCCACCAAGTCGTGCTCGGACAGGTACTCCAAGGTCTGGCAAAGGCACGTGAAAGAGGAGCTTTCAGTCTGCCTAGAAGGGGCTTTAAAGTTTTTCGGCTTGTCGGTGTGTTTAAGGGCTGTAAACTCTAGCACTTTATGTTTCAGGATGTCGGGTCTACATGCAGCGCTTTGTTGTCTGGAGTCTCGGTTCCAACTGCATAGATCTCTGCAGGCTTTAGTGTTTGGTGCTTCGGGAAGGCCTTGATCAAAGCTTCCTCCTCCTTCGGCTGCTTGCGGGTCCTGCAGGCACACCCCTAAACCCTAAACCCTAACTAACCCCTAAACCCTAAACCCTAAACCCCTAAACAGAAGCGGATGGCAAAGGCACGCGGACGGAACTGCGACTGCCTGCAAATGAGCTCGGCCAGCTCTGGGATGCAGTCCATGGCCTGACACAGAACACCGTGGCAAAAAGGGGTTCTTGAACTTAAACTAATAATAATAATATTAAGAATAAGAATAATATGAATATTAATAATACGAATAACAAAAATTTAAAAAAAAAATGAAAATAATAATAATAATAGGTGGAGAAGGCGCAAGTTGGAACATCAGACGGAGGGGCAAGAGATTCGCCACTTCTCAGTCTTCAACTTCGCTGACGTAGCTTAAGCTCAACTACCATCAACTGTCTTCCCCGGGCTGCTTATGCATGAAGAGGTCACCGCGGAGCGACCTCCAGCTGGGCGGGTGCATCTTGACAAGGCACCTTCAAAGAGCTGCGCCGACGGAAAAAAGAAGAGCGAGAAATGGCAAGAGCTTCGGCAGCCTCGTACATTGCCGACACCAGCCAGTCAGTAAACGCGCCCTGGGAGGGACACGGTGAGCGAAAATCCGCATCCCATCTGCACTGTGGCCCAGGCGTCAGGCATGCTGCCTGCGAATGTGTAGCGCAGTCCAACATTGTACCGTGCCACATCATGACATGCACATACATGCCGGTAGTTTTGCAGTGGCCTTGCGGCTCCTCGTCGTTCTCATGCAGAGGAATGCAGTAGCCTGTGAAATGGCAATGGCCTCCAAGCAGCAGCCGCTCAGTGCCGCTCAGCACCCTATTCTTGCATGCTGGTCACAACTGACCTGTAATTAGCTGCTGCCAAACCACAAGCAACAGCAGCTGCGCTGGCCAGCAGCTCGTTCGAGGGCGGGTGAAGAGAGGCCTGGTGGATGAAAGCAACAGCCTCACAAACCACTCGAGAGTCCGCTTCCCGAAAAAAATGCCACGACTTTGTTGCAAGACTCCCCCTCTGCCTCGTTGAGTGCTTTTCGCAATTCAAGGCGCCAGCGACGCACCGCGCTTTCCAACCCCGGCTGGCAAAAGGCCTCGGAACGTCTGAGCCCGGCAACCGGAATCTCTAACATTCTCTGGGGACAGTCTCCCAGTCTCGGCCCCCGGCCCGTGAATCGATCAACAGGGTGCGGATACCTGCAAGTTGCAATCAAGCACTCAAGCCGCAAGGCACTGTGCTAGGCTCTGCCAAGCCTGGCGGAAGCTGGATGCCATGCAAGGAAGGCAGCCGTTGAGGCAGGAAGGGTGCTGGCATCAGCAGCCGCCTTGTAGCATCCGGGCCACATTCCGGAGCTCTCTGCACTTTGATCACGTTGCAGCTCCTCGATAAACTTTCCACCGCGCCAGCGCCAGAGCAGCGAAGGAAGCAGCCGAGCATCTCGATGAACTCCAGCGGCGTTTCCTCCGAGAGATGCGACGTAACCAAATACAAAAAATATGATGCTATGTCGTGTTATAGCATCATACAACATGTAGCATGTTGTAGTGTTATTATGCTACAATATGCAGGGAATGCCGCCATAGTATGTTACTGTTATTTACTGTTAGACAGGTCGAAAGATACCATACTCTGTTATGTTGCAGCATACCGGAGTACACCACAAGGTACATACACGTACAGTTGCACATATTTGCCAACTCGTGTCTTCTCGGCTCTCACTCCGAGGTCCCTGCATCTCCCAAGCAGCCTTCCAGTCGGCCCGGAGCCGCGGCAGAACTGAGGTCGTCCAGAAGGTGCAGCACCTCTAGGGTTATAAATTATACATAAGGTAACTATAATTATAACCCCAATTAGGGTACTTATAACCTTACTTACTATGCCAGAGGTTCCCAAGGTCTCCCCCCACGCAGTGCCGGAAAAAGAGGGTCCGTTCCTGAGTTTGTGGAATATGGATTGGTGTGTTGGGTTTGTTTTGGGACGCCAGGGTTTTCAGGACTCTAGGATTTCCAGTGTGTGCTTTGGCTTCAAGGCCCTGTGCAAGCAGCTCAGCTCAACTGCGTGCCTGGCAGGCCCGGCGCTCCCAGAGGCTGCTCAGGGAGCCACCAGCTGATTCCTGGTCACCAGGAGGTTCTTACGGCTGGCTGTTCCATGGCCCATGAAACCCCACGCCTTCACGTGATGCAGTGCTCGTAGTGCTGCACTCAGGGCGTCAATTTCCAGCTCCTCCAGCTCCTCCTCTGTGCAACGAAACTTCCGAGCTCAGTCCGGATCATCTCGTCACAGATACCGCCTGATCCTTCCCATCGCGACGCTCCCTCGCCAGGCGCTCTGCCAGGCATCGCGCCAAGCCTGCGCTTCTTCAAGGACGGGATGTCTCGGGGAGTCTGGGGGATGATGACTCTTTGCGCACTAGCTTACAGTACCTCAGGTGCATGGATGCCGTCGCAGGCTTCTCAGGCGACGACCGAAGTCATCCTTCGAGATGCGGTATTGAGTCTCCGCCAGCGCCTTGCGAGCAAAGCATGCAGGAGCGAAGTCAAAGCTTCCACGGTCTGCGACTGTTTCCTTTAATGGTGCCAATGCTGATGAGACTGGGCCTACAGTTGCTTCGCTTCTGTACATGGAAGTGCCGCACAAGCAAACGACAGGACATTTACGAAACACGGCCAGTCAATCCGCAAACCCTGTCGTCAGCAGTTGCATTGACACTCAATATCCTAGCGGCCCTCTGCCCACACAGTCAAACCCCAATCAGTGAGCTGCAAAGAAAAGGCTCTTCGCTTCGATTCCTTCTGTGTGGCACACACAGGCCCTCACGGCAAGAAGACCAGCGGGCGAAGAACCCATCCCTGTTGAAAATGCAGTTCTGAGACCGGTGCGTAGTGCCGAAACAATGCCAGGTAGTCACCTCAGTCGCCATCCCGACAAAGCCTGTTCCATGGGGCTTGCACCAATGGGAGGGCCTGGCCTGCACAAGAGATGATCTCCAGCTGGTCACCGTCGCTCGTGATGTCGATGCTGAAGGAAAGCTCCTCGGCCTCGCCTCGCGCATGCAACACACGCATGCACGGCGCATGCAACACACGCATGCACCACACAGCAGGTAGGCCCGGGCACCTGCTATGGCATCGTCCAAGGCTCCGAGAGCCCCGGCACCCAAGCCGACGGCATGGCAGCGGGAGCGCACCTCGCGCAGCTCCGCAAGGCTCAGGTCCTTGGCAGTCACGGGCTCTTGAAGCAGCCAGGCAGCCAATCACTGTCTTTCCCACTTCTCAATAGATTTGTTGGATCGAAGAACCAACTCACCGTAGGAAAGCTGCGATGCGAGGTGGGCCTGCACTGATCCGCATCGTAACATGTTGACAACAAGTGTCAAGAGAGCGCAGTGCCCAGCTTGCCTCCAGTTCTGTGAAATGGGCGTCAAGCTGATTTGCCTCCAACGGTGCTGGCAAGTTTCTGGGCACTTGGGCTCCGAGCGTCGCTCTCCTCACAATTCGTCACATCGAGCAGCCAAGCAGCCTCGTCATCATCCATCGTGCAGCCAGGCAGATAGCACCGATCGCATGATGGACTCGGAAATGCTCGCCGCTGGGTTTCTGTCCGACACTAGATGTTCACATCTGCCTCACCAGATGCATTCAATCACTTCTGAAAGCCAGAAAATGCTATGCCATCACATTCAAGACGAATCCAAATGGGCGCAGTTGGTGTTCGAAGCATGGCCTGGCTTCTGCGATCATGTTGCTCGAAGGTCACTTCTGGCCACTTGGTAAGTGAAACGTGCAACCTTCGGGCCCTGCAAAAGACGACAGCTGGTTTAGCAATGTGCTTGCTGTGGCCTCATCCTGCTTTTGCAGACGTTCCGATGGCTGCAATCTTAAAGCTAGGAGGATGCATCTTCCTTCTTCTCAGAGACGAAAGCCCGGATATTCACAAGGGTAGGCCTCAGAGCATCATCGCAAGCTACTGCGTGTCGTCGCGCGGTCTTGTCGGTCCACTCAGCTCTGCGGAGGGGGCCTTCGCCATTCGTTGCTTCGCTCCGGCTTGATGCCTCGAGAACTCTCGTGCTCCGCGGCGGTCACTCAGTGACTTAAGGGAGTGAGGAGCAGACCGTCGATTCCGACAATCCACCCGGTCTCCTGGCAGAGCGCTGCTCATTGCGGCAAGCCCCAGAGTTATTGAAATGCCAGCCAGGTTATGGCTACCTTAATCACCGCCCCAACTGCTTCGATCCAGCAACGCTTTCACCACTTGGTAACGCCATAAGCCCTGAAGCTGCGTCGTGGATGCGTGGCAAGGGCTGGCTACGGGCTCCTCCTTAGTCTTCTTCTTCTCTTTTTTCCTCGCCGGCGCTGGCGAGACGTCCTGTCGAATCGCCCTGTGACATGACTCTGCAACATCCTACATACGTCTGTGTGAGGTACCTCCTCGGTAAAGCCCAGCCGCTCCATGGGCTCCTTCGTCATCAGGTTCTTGTCCATGCGACATTGCAAGTACCTGCGGATATTTTCAACCCAAAAGCCAAGGCCAGATGGTGAAATTTCCGGCTTTTGCCCATGGGCACCGCTTGGAGAGATACCGGCAGGACATGTTGTCGTGGCTGTGCTGCTTCAAGCACTGAAGGTACTCGTCCTGTCTTTCACCAGGGTCCCAAGGCATCCCATGACCCTCTTTGGCATCTCAGCCCCATGGCTCCATGTTCCTAAAGTCCTTTACCCTGAACCATGAACCCGGCACCCTGTGGATCCTTGAGCTTCGAGCACTCGCTAAAGTGGTCCAGGGGGAAGGACCCCTGCCGTGGAGTCGGAGCGAGACTTGCGGTGGAGCAAACTTCGACTGGCCTTGTCGGGAGGTCGGCCGGGCATTATCCGCTTTCCCATGGACACCTGGCTAAAACTTGGCATTCCCATTCCCGAAGCCAACATAGAGTTGTATCACCACCGGGCTCTGCTAAATTCATAAGCCGACTGAGGTCTGAGACTTTTCCGGCGCAAGCGCACGTGTCGGCTGCGAACCGAAGCTCCAGCTTCACAGCTGAGGCGAGGCAGAAGATGCCTTCCATCTACGGAAGGGCTAGTTTTTTCTGCCTTGCGCAGGACGCCGTAAGGATCGAGACACTGAAGACCTTGCTGTTGGTCTTTGGCGACTAGTTGAATTATGGAGAACGCCCATCTGGGATCAGCAAGGCCAGCAGTCCGAGAGGCCTGGCAAGAGCTAGTCATCAAAGCACTTGCACCTGTCCTTTACATCTTGGGCCGCAAGCAACAATGACACTTCGGCGCACCGCCTGTCGTTGGTTTCGACGCGCCTTGGCTGGGGCGGAAACCTTGGCCGAGTTTCTGCACGGGGCATTCCGGTCGCTCATGCCTTTCATCGCGCTAAGCCTGCCTCCCCATATATCCCAAGACTCCTTTACAAAGGAAGCAGGATAATAGTCCTTTGGGCCTCAGGGATGCAGGGTATCTCAGATAGCCGAGGAGCTCAGATCCAGAATTGGTGCTCCGTACGGCCGGCGGCGGGATGCGTTTAGCCTGGCAAAGGTGCAATTGCCGCTCCGCCGCAAATTGGCTTTCCCGTCTGATGCTTCGGGGCGTCTGAGCTTTGGACAGAAAGGGAATGCACAGCAGCAGGGCGGCAATCGCGAGCCTGTTGCAGAACAGAGCCATCCTACTGAGTTCTACTGATCCTCAAGCAACTGCGCCACGGTCCCCAGTGCCACAGGAGACACGTTCTTCCGAGAAGCAAGTCGCAGACGATTGCCCAGGCAATCTTTGGCACACCCCAGATGTAGTCCTCGGAAGCCGGCGATCTCACCGAGTACTGGTCACAAAAACCGACTTGAAGCTTGAAAACCGAGTTGCGCAGGTGGGCAGGGTCAGTGGGCGAGGCTCATGCGACAGCGCGGCCCCAGCAGTGGAGTTGCTCTTCACCGACAGCACCGAGCTGACATTCGCTTTGCTTGCATTCAGCAGTGTGGCATTAGAGCTGCCCAGCGCGTTGGTGCTTTCTGCGGCCTGCGGGCTGAGTCGAGGGACCGGGGCAGATGGCACGCGCAGGTCCGAAAACAAGCACAAAGATGCGTTTTGGGCCCAGCCGATCTTCGAATCCATCGGAACCCCAATGGAGCGCTCCATTGTCCGTACTGCAGAGACTGCACTGGCTACGACTCCAACTACGAGTAGCTGCGACAGCATGCCATGGTCGTAACATATTAGATGTCCCGCAGTCGCTGCGGCTCTGAAACGTCAGAGCGCCATGAATTACATGGTGCTCTCGATTCAAGGCACAACCCTGCCACTGCATAGCAGCCTGACAGGGTCTAGAACTAAATCACTGGCAGCTGCCTTGGGCACACTGCCACAGCCATAAAACCCATTGAAGCCCGTAAACAACCAGAACTGACTTCCCCGTACAACCTAAAACCCAAGCCCAAAGCCCTACATGTTAAGGGCTTCCGATCGCTCCATCTCCTTTCACCAAGGCCGAGAGCAAGGAGCACAAATCTGGGGACTCATCTTTAAGGTCCACGACCACTGGGCGAGGCTCCAGCTTTTCTTTCAACTTCGGCCTCAGGTAGTCGTCCCACCTCCTGGAGCCCTTCTTGTAGATCTTGATCCGTCCCTTCGGCGGGCTCGCTTTCCTCTAAGGGAATCATCTCCATGAAGCATGCAATCCGTGTGAGGCATTGCTATGCTCAATATTCTACGAGACGAAACCCAAAATTGCATGTAATAATACATGACAGTAGACTACTGTAGTTTAGTACAATACAATTTACTGTAACTCTCTGCGCTTATTCGAAACTACAGCCCTGTAAAGTAAGCTTGACTTTCGGTCCTGCTTTCCGGTGGTGGCCGGGGTATTGCAGGTGCTGGGCGCTGCAGAGCCCCGGCACAAAGCTCCATGGGCCAACCCAAAGCCTGTTTAGGGTTAAAATGTTTAAACTACAGGTGTGGCGTCTGGTGTCTAGGATTACGCTTCGGGGCTTCGGGTTTAGGGTTTCTACCACCAAGAAAGCCTCAACTACCCGGTCAAAGTGCTGTTTGCCTGCCTTGGCCTGTGCCAGCCACAACTGCTCGCCGTAGCACCGGCCGAACCTGAGCCGATGCAAGATCTGGAATCTACTCCTGACCTGCCTATGTCAAAGAAACTCTCACCCTTCGTTGCCCAGCTTTGCGCGAAGCCACGTGATCCGGGCATAGACGGCGGATTGCTCCACTTCAGGCGTGAGTGGCGGTCTGTGCACAGCTGGTGCCCATCCCACGCATGCACTTCTGCCAGACTCTGCAAGAGACCGGACCTTGCCTGTGCGTATCGGGATGTTGTTGCGCATATATCAGGGCAGCCTCTTCCTGCGCACGGCGGGGCTGTGATTTTGTCCATTTGCCCAGGCTTCCAACTTGCACGGACACGGTCCTTCTTCAAGAACGCTCTCCACGTCTGGGTGGCACACTCCGCAGCCCAGAATGCGTGAGAAGAACTAGCTGGCGCAGTCTCTTCGAGTTGTTGGCAGATCCAGCGGCAGTCGCGAGCACTGTTGCTAGGGACTCCGACCTTCACCCAGAGACGGGCCGACTCTGCTGCAACAGAGAGGAAGGAAGTGCAAAGTAGATGCTGCAGCTGCTCTGCATAAACCTTAGACACCGTTCCTCCTCTGAGCTGGAAAAGAGGCATACCATCGATCGTATCGTCAGAGCCAAGATGCATCTACACGTCCTGGTCCTGCATAGTTGACAGGTTTTCCAGACTCTTGTCCTTGCCGGCGCGCGATGTTCTGTCGCATCTCCTGTCGAAACGGTTCTGCCGGCAAAAACCCTCAATTCTACAACCCCAACATGCTGCTAAAACCCCTGAAACCCCAAATCCCCAAAACCCTAAAACCACCAAATTGTCAAATACCTTAAACTCTGAAGCCCTAACCCCTAAAACCCGCACAAAGAAAGCCATAAACCTACATCATGAGGAGAAGGCTTGGATGGAAAATCATCGTGAAATGATGCGGGGACCCTAAACTCCACAACCTAAAGCCCGGATCCTAAACCATAAAACCTGAATTATCAGCTGCCCTAAACCCTCAAACCTTAAAACCTGAACGACAACCTAAACCCCTAAACAGCTGAACCCCAAACCCGAAACCCTAAACCCTACACTTTAAACCCCAAACCCTAAACCCCAAAACCCCACGGCAGAGGGTTGCAGGGTTGCCTGCCTCTTGCTCCTTCAGGCGCAGCTCGCGAATCGCCTGTCGCAAGGATTCGGAGTCCCCGGCTTAGGTAAACCTCAGAACTCGGTCTCTTTTAGGGTTTAGGGTTTAGGGTTTGGGGGTTTGGGGTGTAGGTTTAGGTTTTAGAACCATGTGGGTTTCTACCCAAGCTCTGAGCTCGAGATGGTGAAATGTCGCCTTTGTTCCTGCCTCGGTTGAGGGCGCTCGCGATTGTCCCGTAAAGAGGCGGTTAAGATGTTCTGGATTTTTGCTGTTCACAACAGCTTCGGGTTTGGGGCTGCAAGGCCTTGGCATGCTGCGGTTTAGGCTCCCTCGCTTCCTTTGCCTCGTGGTCGTCGGTCCAACAGCGCTCGAAAAGTTCGTCGCTGGCTGCAACTAAGCTGAGGTCCTGCCACATCGGGGCGTGGAATTCCCAGGGCTCGTAGTAACAACCTAAACCCCTGATTCCCAAAACCCTAAACCCCTAAACCCCTAAACCCTAAACCCCAAGGGGAAAATGTCAGGAATCTGACACTTCTCCATCGCGACGATTCTGAAGTTGAATTCTGACTGTTGCGAACGATGTGTGGGCAATGCATCTTAAGAGCAAGCATTTATCCCGGCCATGTTTCTTGAAAACGATCACTCCAAGTTATCTCATCTCTTCCAAGACCAACCCACCCCATAGCACAAGGGTAGACGCTCCGCCTCGTCCAAAGTCTTGCCATTCTGCTTGATTGCCAATGACACGTCGTACTCTATCCTGAGCCGTGGCGATGACTTCCATTACCACTTCACAAGCGTGGCTCCTCCAGCCTACCAGTCAACGTATAGCTAAACACAGAACCACTTTCAGGCAGCTCTTTTACGTTCCCCTTGGCCCCAGCTTTGGCCAAGCAGCTCTCGATAGAGAAACGACCAAGAACCGGCCCATGCCTCTAGGGCTTCACGGTCGCGTCGACGCGGAGCCTCAGATCTCCACCATGCTTCGCTCTTCCGTACTCAGTTTGTTGTGTGGAAATGTGTGGAAACAGGGAGGAGTCCACCTCATGATCGTCGCATATCATCGCCAGGAAGGACGACAGATCGACACCCCACATCTGGTAAAACAGCCTCGAGATACGCACACGGCTCGGACAAGACACCCGGCTGAGCTTCTTGATCTTGTCCATGAACTCTTTCGCCTTTGAATCCGGCAGAAAGGCCTTCTCCAGGATGCACCGCGCACAGGTGCAGGAGAAGTTGTACTCACCTTGTTTCGCAACCAAAAATCCCAAGATACAGAGCGTGGTGAGCCCACCTAAGCCCCAAGCCCTGAAGGCTAGCAGGGAACCCTGTAGAGCCCCCAAAGCTGAACCCTGAAGCCCCACTGAGAAAGGCGAGCAGCTTTGGAGCTCTCGCTGACGGAGCATTGCCGGACGGTCTACGCGGACAAAGTTGCAGCAGATCTCGTCGCCCATCTGCCGTTGCAGTTCAAACGTGCTTGTGTACGGGTTTCTTTTGTGAGATGAGGGGCACCTTGCAAAAGGCTCCTTACATCAAGGATCCCACAATTGAGTGCCTCTGCTGGATCTTGGGAATCCGCTTGGCAGCCGGTGTGTTGGCATAGCGGGAAGGGGTTCACTCAACACGTTCGATGCGCAAGGTGCCAAGAGGAACGCATCCGAGGCCTCCAGGTCTCGCGCGGCGCGGCAGATCAGAACATCGCCGACGAAAGTGAAGCTTGCATTCGGCCTGCACAGACTCGGACACAAGCGCAGACCGGCGGTTCAGGCCACAGGGAGGGGCAGAGTTTCACCCACTTGGGCAGGGCCTGGCCTGCAGGAATGGTTCATGCAGGCTGCCAGAGGCCAAAGTCCCCAGAGCTTCTCCTCGATCTCCCCCGTCTTGCTCAGGGTGATGCGGCTTCGGGCATTCAGCCGCAGGATCCTGGTCCCAGCTGTAATGCTTTGCATCGTTGCCGTGGGCCGTTTATACGAATCTAAGGACAGAGAATGCACTGTGGTCCTCTGCACCTTGTCTTCATCCACCGTGCGATCTTGTTCATCTTCTCCCGGGCAGGCTATTGTGATTGATGATCCTGCAGGCGACACCTCAGCTAAGCACCGGCCAGCTACAAGGCCTATCATCATCTCCCAAGACTCTGGGCTGCCTGGGCACAACCTCCTCCTCCTCGCCGTTGACGAGATTCATGAACCTGCTCGGGCCATCATCCCCTTAAGCACATGTGCGCCTGCCTTGCGCCGAGTCGCTGATCGAAATCCACCTTTGAGCAGCTCTGTAGTTTCTTCAGGGCGGCTTCGAGGAGCGCCTGATGACTCCCCAGTACGAAAGCTTTCCTTGGAGTTTGCGCTGACGCCGATTCAAGCGTGCTGCGAAATTGCGACACACTCTCCGCTCTCATTTCGCTAACGAGTGGGCTTTCACATCTGGCTCCCAGCCAGGGGCAGGGAAGTGCCCTTTGCACTACCACATGACAGAAGTCGCGAGTCCAACACTTGCCGGATGAACTCAGAATTCCCAAAACATCAAGGATCCCAGTTTCAGAGTCCACGCTGGAGGTTCCCGAAGCTTTTTGAAACTGCCACATTGCGCAAGGCTGCATCCTGGCACACCCCTGGGACTGCAGGCAAGCATCTCGACAAAGAGCAGCTCACCAAGCTGTGCCCGTTCGCGAACCTCCGAATACAACAACCCTTCAAGGCTGTCACCGCCCGTACCACACGCAGCCGTACATCGCATATCCGAGCAGGGGAGGGGCTCTGTTCATCGAAGGCACCAGTAGCCCACGGCCGACAGGTGCCCTCTCCATGCGACTGCAGAAGCCTGTGCACAAAAAGCGGTTGTCTCAAAGTCAGCCCTCGTGCACTGAACCGCGGGCGCAGGCCGAGACCATACTCAATGACCTGGGACGAACTTCCCTGCATCCCTTGACTTAAAGCCTGCCACGGCCAGCTGCGGTGCGTCCCCACTTCGGCTCAGCAGCGCAGCGGCATCCGCCTGGAAATGCATTTGCCGACTTTCCCTTGCCACCTAGGCCATGGCACCTGCCCTGCAGAAGTCGAAGCGCAGGGCTGGCCGTTGGCTTGTTTTGGGGCTTGGGGATTAGAATAGGGCTCCTTTCAAGGTCTCTACAAGAGTTCTGCAATATAGGGCACGGTTTTGGGTTTCAGTTGCAAGGACGACCGGCCTTGAACATCTCTCGCAGCTGGTACTGTCCATCCTGTTCCTGTCTTTAGAAAGGTTTAGGGGTTTGGGTTTTGGGTTAAAGGATAATATAGGGTTTGGCTTTAGGGTTTGGGGTTTGGAGCAATTTCCTGCCTTGAGATGTTGCAGTGCCTTGCGGACGCCGCTTTCGCATTTCTTCTGAAATGCAGGGTTGCTGCCTGAACACTTCGCAAGGTGCACAATTCCCCCCTTCGACGGTACTCTTGAGGCTTCACCTCCAACCTGAAACCCTAAAGCCTCAAGACCGTGAGTGAAGCCCTAAAGGCCCTAAAAACCCTAAGCCCCTGAACCCCAAAGCCCCAAAAGCCTAGGAGTCTTAACCCCAAACCCCTAAACCAAGAGGCCCTAAACCCTGAAACCCTAAAGCCCTAAACCCTAAAAAGGCCCTGTAGAGTCGGGCCTGTCAGGCATTTCGCCTTCCCAAAGTTCGCCAGCGCATTTTGGTGGTTCCCAGAGAAGTCCTCGGCAAGGCCCTTCTTGTAAGCAGCCTCTGAGCAAGGCGAGATCTGAGGAATAGGGTTTAAGGGTTTTGGGGTTTTGGGGTTTTGGGGTGTGGGGTTTAGGGCTTTAGAGGCTGGGGCTCAGGATCTTGGAGTTTGGGCTGTAGGCTTTATTTAGGGCACGGATGCCTTGACGTCGTTACTGGTCTCCACCGTCGCGGTGGCCATGGCCGACACCAGCCGCCTGCATCCCTTGACTTGAGCATGTTTCCTGAAAAAGCTGCTAGTCACCGCTCTCCGCAAGTCTGCCCCATTGACCAGCAACATGAGACCCTGAGGACTACTTGCCTTCTTGCTGTACCCATGCCCTTGCAGAAGCCCCTTGAGCCAAACAGCTCTCCACGTGCTCATGAAACTCACTTCAATGCCGTCAAGGGCCTGCATATCAGATCCCACGATGCCCCCCCGAAGCCTGTAAACCCCAAAAAGACTCAAACTTAAAACCTCAACATCCTGAACTCCTAAACCTGAACCTAAACCCTAAACCCTAAACCCTAAACCCTAAACCGTGAAGGCCTCATGTCACTTGCAAAGAGAAGAACAATCAGAGGCGACGGGGTCGTGCCTGCGGAAGCTCCAAGCCGACTTGGAGAAGGCAGGTCTCCTCAGGCACGTCTTAGCCTACTCTTATTCTTACTAGATTCTAGACCATATTCTGAGTATATTCGTTACTAGATTCCTTACTATATTTTTGTTGTGTTCTGATTATATTTATAGTTCCTTGTGTATATTCTAAGTATGTCCTTCTTATCTTTGGCATGCTGTCAATTTATTTGCTTATTCTTGTCCTGGGCAACACAGAAACCAAAAGACATCCCACATCCACCGAAGCATTTCATCTCGAAGTCAGGCGTGTGACTCTCTCGTCTGCCCTCTACAAAGGCTTCAGAGACTTGTCCCCGTCCTGAATCTCCTCCCTGACCTGCCCAATCGCCAATTCCAGCTGCAAGAACGCGAGGAGGACGGGGCAGGTCCGCATTCGTCTGAAGGACCTTCGCTGTGTCATGTCTGAAACACTCCCTGTGTCAGCGCATGACCGCGGACGGCTGCATCCAAGGTACGCTGACGTGACTATCGGTTCGGTGTCAGAAGGGCCAGATGAGGCCGGGCCCTCAGTGGTTACAGTTAACTGCTGCCGGCTACTGCGATCAAGATGGGACTTTCCAAAAATAGGGGGTACCTTATTTTGGGGTCCTTATAATAAGGATCCTATTATTTAGGGTACTAGATTAGGGTCCCCTATTTTCGGAAACCCCCGGATGTGGCCAAGGCCACACCAAGGTCCGCACGCGGCGAGAAAGGGCCGCAGGATCCCATGGCTCTCAGCTGGGCTCGAGCCGAGAAGGGCAAATAGGGCAGAGATACGGGGGTACCTTATTTTGGGGTCCTTATAATAGGGATCCTACTATTTGGGGTACTATATTAGGGTCCCCTATTTTTGGGAACCCCCGAATAGGGCAGAGATACAAACATGGCCTGGCACCCTCTGGCAAGGCTGCAAATCCCGTCTGCAGCCTCGCTCATGGTCGCCGAGTGGACGATGCAAATGCAACACCTCTTCGAGTCTTAGAGTCAGACTTGGCAGCAATACCTATAAGTGCAGCTTGAACAAACTGAGGGCAAAGCAGAAAGAGTGTGGGACTATCGCATGCAGCGCTTCATGGATGAGTTCCCAAAGAGGCGGTTGAAAGCAAAGCTCAGCTGTGGTGGCCCAATGGGCTGCTGTCCGATAGCTCCAGAATGCCGAAACTGCGAGCGGCTTCTCCAGTCTTAAAGCTCCATTTGAGTTGATGTGCCGGAAAAGCTGCGGTGATCAGGCGTCTTGGTCTTGGCAGCAGTTCTGTGCTGAGCAGCCACCAACCTAAGCAGGGAACACCTGCGACGTGCAGCCACGACAGTGCGATCGCAAGATCTCCAAAGGCAAGAAGGAAGGAAGGAGGAGCGAGGCCGGGAGTGAGTGCGCAAAAAGCAGGCTTGCTTTTGAGCCGGTTTTCCTCACAGGCCGCTGCTTCGAAGGGCATCTTGCACCTTGCAAGAGCTGGGAGCAGAAGTTGCAGAACACTCGGGTGCCACTGCAAGGAAGTTGCCTGTTGAGGTGCAGCAGCCAGCAGTGCCTCTCAGGGTCATCGGGCCAGCGTCGGAAGTAAAATACAGATAAAGATAACAGATAGAGGTATAGACCCAGATGTTCATACATAAAGGTATGGATCTAGACGCAGATGTAGGTACAAACATAGAGAAAACCAATGGGTTACGCTGGTTATGCCGGCTGTGCCATTTATGACAACCATAGCCATGTCAGCCGCATTTTGTATGCTCTTAATTTGCGAATTTCGCAACATTTTATCTTCTTACGCTGCAAAACTTTTGGTACAGTCTATAAGTTGTCTATGATACTGAGATACTGTACCACGATACAACACAAAAAACGACAATACAACACTACTACAATATCAAAACCCCATAATGCTCTAATAATCTAATACTATTATAATACGGCAATGCGACAATACTGTCTTGCTACAACAGGATAATGCGAGAATGCTATATCATGCTAATAAAATAATGCTATAATCTCACATTGCTCTATTGCAAAAATGCTACAATTACATGATAGTTTAGCATGATGCTACACAAGTACGATGATACTATAGTACTGAAGTACGATAATGCGACAACACTTAAACACTGTAATACTTCAGTACCAAAATACTGAAATACGGAAATGTAGCACTACTAAAGTACGATACTAAAATACTATCATAGTACGATAATGCTGGAATACCATAGTACAAATTTTCCTTGTGCTCCGAAGGTCTGAGTACTTTCTGCCACAGACCTTACTGTACATAAAATGTTCAGTAAAGTATAGTCTATGCAATGCAAAGCAGACTGCACTCGATACGTATATGTATATGTTATATATATATATATGTATACATAGATGTGATATATACATATTTATGTGTGTGTATGTATGTGTGTATATATATATATAGTGTGTATATATATACATATATATATATATATGTATACGTGTACAATGTATAAGTATGCACATATACACACATTTCTATGGGTTCAATTGTTGCGTTCAAACGATAGTCTGTCAGACTATATAACGCCATGTTATGGCACAGTGCCCCCAAGCATACTATGTTCTATCTACTAAGTTTACCTCATTGCTTACCTGGTGGGTTTGGTGCAGAATGTTTTTCATGCGAAATAACAAACGGTATCTTCGATGTTGTCTATATTGTCGTACTGTATGTGGTGATGTGTATATATGTACACATAGAAAATGTATGTATATGTCATGTACATACATGTTTACGTACATGTTGTATAGCTCCGTATATGTACCTGCCTGTATCTATAACCCTAACCCTAAAGTTCAAGCTCACGCCAGCCTTGACCTGCTCACCATGTGTGGCACCCAGCTGCTTTAGCAAGGCCTGGGCTTAGGGTTTAAAGTTTAGGGTTTCCGGGCTATGGGGTTCAGGTTTTTGGCTTTGGGTTTTCCAAGCCATAAACCCTTCTGCCTACTCGCACGAATCGCAACTTCAACCGGGGTTGCGGCAGCAAGACGCCCGAAGAGCCAGCCTGGATTTGGGAGTCTGCGCAGACGGTTTGTGGCTGTGCTTTTGGGGTGTAGGATTCAAAATGTCAAATACAGACTCACACATGCTACGAGAACACCACAATTGGGCGTCTCGCAACTTGAAGGTTTATGGGTTTGGGGGTTATCGAGTTGAGAGCTGTGGGGGTCTGCCCCGGTTATACAGTTCATATTTGTTGAGGCTCCCGGTTCAGATACCTGGGACACACCCAGACCACTCCTACAACTGCCTTGCATGCCATGGTGAACCACAACATGGACCTGAAATAGTAGTACTTAGTAGGATCCTTCGGTACCCCCTACAGGGGCCCAAAAACATAAAACCATTTCAGACCCGCTTGTAACACCCTTTCCTCGTAAGGTACATCCTCCAAGACCGATCAAGAAACTCTCCACATGCCGACATGGGCTCAGGAGGCCACGAGCCACCGCTGTATCTTCCAGGGAGCCATCCTGGATCGGACTCCCGCAAGAGCCCTGCGGGTTTGAGGGCTCTTCTTTGTTTTGATCAGTTCTTTCGACTAGCAAGATCGTTGCTTTGGGATCGTCGGGGTTTGGGAGTGGGGGTTCAGGAGTTAGGGGCTCAAAGTTACGGTTACGGGCGTGCGCTTTCGGTTGTCAAGGGGATTCAGGATGTTGGGGCTTAGGGTTTAGGGTTTAGGGTTTAGGGTTTAGGGTTTAGGGTTTAGGGTTTAGGGTTTAGGGTTACCTCGGATTTTCTTTGACACCTCTTGTCCGTCTGCATGCTCCATGGAGCCGGATCGCCTTACAGGCTCAGGCAGTGGGCGAGGGACCAACACCCAGGGGATTCACCACGAATTAGCCACTCATCCCCCAATTACCCGATCCACTTGGTCCCTCATAGACCACAATTGGTGTGGACCTCAAGCAGCCTTTTCCTTGGCTTTTGCAGGTTTTGCAAGAAGCTCAGACGATCATACCCTCTCGTAATCAATGAGGGGCCTCTCACGACAGTGCCAGCAAAGTAGCTCTTCAAAACCGAATAATAGAAATATTTGGCGTCGAGGGTTTGGGGAAACAGCTCTTCTCACTGCAGGAGTGCAAAACCCTCATCTGATGCTGCGGCTCTCCCAAGGCATCTTCGGCGCAGGTCTGGGTTTACAAACATCTTGGGTGGGCAGCACGCGATGAGAGCTTACTTACTGCTACCCCAAAACCAATCGAAAGCTAGCAAAGATGCAGTCTGCGACATTAGATGCTCCAGCCCAAGCAATTCAGGGGAGCCGAAGACTACCACAAACAGTACCATCGTGAAACACTGAACCCTGGCCCTAAACCCCTAAAGCCCTAAGCTCTGAACCAAGTGTTCACCTCTTGTATGCAGCAGTCCGGCCTCTTTGAGGTTGCTCCGCCTGAGATCCGCGGGCCTCCAACAGACTGCACAATGTTCCCCACGTTGCATCTTGTCTGAGAAACACTTGGCCGGAAACAGGAGGCAGATCTGCAGCTCTGCAGCGCTGCGAGCCTGAACAGCAACGCAAACCCACACAAAACCGCTCGCTGCTCCACAGCCTTGCAACAGCGCTTGCCTTTTTCGACAGGGTCAGATGTCGGAGAACTTCCGCTTGAAAGTGTAAGCCCTACGACCCTTCTGCATGACGGCCTCAGCCGTCAGCTGATTCTTGACGGCACTGCTGTCTCCTCCGAAGCTGGCAGAGCCCCAGGTAACCACGCTGCCGTCGTTGCGAAGGGCAGCAAAGGCATTGCTTGAAGCTGCAAGTTCCACCACATCCGTCAGTTCCTCGTCCCGGACTCCTCCTGACTCCCAGTGTCCCCAGGAGACGACCGAACCGTCAGAGCGAAGCGCGGCAAAAGCCTTCTTGGCGGCTGTGATGTGTAGCACTTGCCGCAAAGGCTGCACGGAGCTGCTGTCTCCGCCGGAGCCCGGTTGGCCCCACGTCACGACGCTCCCGTCACCCAAGATGGCAGCAAAGGCGTACTGCGAAGCCACAACCTTCTTCACATCCTTCAGTTGTTCATGAACACTGCTGCTGTCTCCACCACACTCAGCGACGCCCCACGTGATGACACTACCGTCTGCACACGTCGCAGCAAAGGCTCTCTGAGAGGCAGCTATCTGCGTGACACTAACGAGCACGTTCTGCATGTCGTCACGGGCGCCAGAGCGAAAATCTCCCCAAATAATCACCCTACCATCGGACCGGAGGGCAGCAAATGCGTTCTGTGATGCTACGACCTCTGCCACGTCTTGCAGCTGAGCTCGTCTGTCATCGAACTTGATGTCGGTTGCTTTGGATCCCCAGGCCACCACTGTGCCATCAGAACGGATCGCAGCAAAGGAATAGCTGGATGCCACAATGTGCCTCACATCTCTCAGCTGTGCCTGAACAGCACGACTGTCCCCACCTGGGTAGCTAACCCCCCAAGTCACCACACTGCCATTGGAGCGAATGGCGGCAAATGCATATGCGGAGGCCGCGACTTTGGTCACCTTCGTCAGCTGCTCCTGGACATACCGACTGTCACCACCGAAGTCTGGATCCCCCCACGTTACTACCGAGCCATCTGCCCGGATGGCAGCGAAAGCCCCATCGGAGGCAACAACATCCTGGATGTCTTGCAACTGCTCCTGTACTGCCGTGCTGCGGCCACCGGAGGAAGGATCTCCCCAGGTCACAATGCCCCCATCACCCTTCAGCAGGGCAAAAGCAGCAGCCCCCATCTTCGAGATAACAGTGGCCCTGCGAACCATGGCGGAGAGGGTGTCCCCATCCTTCAGCCCGGCCTCCTGCAGCGCCTGAAACCTATTCAGCAACTGGCCCTCAGCGGTGACCAGGTCTTTGATAGTCACCTGAAGCTGCTCCTGTGCTAAGCGCCTCAACTCGAGGACAGGTGCCTCCTCTGACAGATGCAGCGTTGCCACCTTGCCGCTCAGCAAGGCCACCCTAATCTCCATGAAAATCTCCGGGAGAGCGGCCAACACTCCCGCTCTTCATGGCCGGGCTGATAGGAAGGACTGTGAGGCTTAATTGAAGGCCATGTTTAGCGACTTTAGGGACATTAGGGCCGTAGGTTTTCAGGGTTTGGGGCTGGACTTGAACGTAGTTTCTGCCTCGCGGATTTGTTGAGGGCCTTTCTCCTAAGCGTTGCAAGCAGGTTCTCTGCAGATACATCACGCAGTGCTTCGGAGTTTAGGGCTTAGGAGATAAAGGGATGCGATTCCGATGGTCCTGGTACATGCCTTTGGCATACCTGAAGCTTATAGGGCCCGGGCTAGGCTGCAAAGACATTCAAAACGGGTATATAGGTGGAGTGAAGTAAACTCGTCAAGCTGAATATTCCCTTGTCATGCAAAGTGGTTGCTATTGAGAGCGCGGCTGGTGCAGGAAGCTTTGCAGAGAGCTTCGACTTGAGGGACTGCAGCGTCTTAGCCTTCGTCAACAACAGCAGCAAGGTGAAGCTTCCAGGTACGTTGTGTCGAAGCGAATGATAGCCCGAAGCTCTGAGGCTTGAGCGAGTGCGCTGGAGATGCCCCTCTGTGCTGCCATGATCAAGTCATTGCCTGCTGTAACATGCCAGGGGTGGCCTGTGGCGCTTTCGATCACTTCTGACGGTCTCAGGGCTGTACAGGCAGTCATTATCTCCCTCCAGAACCTCAGTCCACAAGAGCACAAGCTCTGTCGGAGATTCCAGGTTCGAATTGAGGCTCAAGCATCGGATCCACACCACTTTCAGCCAGCGCCAGGGCAGCACTGATGATGGACTCGGCGTTGAAGAAAGTCAGTGACTTGACTACCCAGGTGCTTGAAGCCAAGGGGCACATCGCAGGGCGACCGCAGCTGCCTGAACCAGCGGCACATCAACACATGGCACAAACTCGCATGCTGTCACGTCACGGCGCACAGGCACGAGATAGGCGGGCGGCTTGATGGCATGCGGACGGAAACGGAAAGTCAGCTGCGCAGGATGTGCTTTCCAAGCGGACGAGCCGCTAGTTGCTCTTTTCTTTGCAGTTTCAGGACATACTCTCTGGACTCTGGCACGAACGGGAGCCAGGTCTGGCCTGGGGTATATAAAAGGCAAAGGGTTCGGAGGCTTCCGCGCCTCTGCTGTTCAGCGATGGCACTTGAACCCACCGCAACTTGTGGGTTTTGATGGCTTTTGCATACAGACGCATACAAACCCACAGGTACACACACAGAGAGTGTACTCAGTGTACTCATCGGGTATGTTCGAATATGGAGCATGCGAACATGATGCGGGATGCTGCCCAACTGTCCACCAAGCCTCTCACCTCTGCCTTCTGCCTTGAGAAGACCCAGAACAAGGTCTGTGCTAAACGGCGT